ACAAATCTTAGAGGGAAGCACAAAAGCATTAGAGCATGTATAATCTATTATTATTAGACTAAATATGGATTTTGCTTATTGTTATTTCTTCTCAGCTCATACACTAAAACCTTACTTCAAGGATCAGCTGACCCACGTCTGCAGCTAGTTCCCCATCCAGGCAGTTTGCAACAATAAGCCTTTAGAATAATCTGGTCCAAAACTCACATTTAATCCCAGCCTGCATCTTGGGACCCAATTAAAATGATTTGTTGCAAATGTCCATCTTTCTTCTTTTCTTTCTAGGATAACCAGATGAAAAGGAGAACTGCAGGGCTCCTTGAGCATTAGCAGTTATACAGAAATGAGCACTTCAGGAGATGCAGTTAGCTATGTTGTGGCCAGAGGAGAAATCTTAGGCCTGATAAAAACAATGTCTGCAGAAAGAGGCACTGCCTTCCTTTGCATCTGGTAAATCTCATAGAATCATGACTGGAAAGAACCTTGGAGGTGATCTGGTTCAACATCAATGCAGGAATTGTGCACGTAAAACAATTCTGAAAGATGGCTATCCACCTTAAAACATCTCCTACTGTGCAGCTGAAAATCTGCTTTCTTGCCAATTTCAGTCCACTGATTCTAGCCTTGCACTCTTGGGCAACAGAAAACAAGTCGGTGTTGTGACGAAGCTCCCTAGAATCTGTCCCTCTTCATGTCATACACTTCTCACATGCTCAGTCCTGTCTTAGAAAGGAGCTTCTTCACCATCCTGGTTGCTCTCCCCTGGGCATGCTCCAGTTTGTCAATGTATTTCTTCAAATGCTGCAGCTGGAACTGAGTGCAATGCTCCAGGTATGTTCCCTTCCTTCTGATTTCAATTTCCCTTAAAGCTTATTTGCAACAAAAAGAAAATGATGGTGGCACTGACATGATACACTTAAGAGTCTGACTGTGAAGAAATTTGGGTTCTCAGCCCACCAGCTGAAGTTCAGTGGCTTACAAGACCAAACCTACTTAAGTTCAGCTGTATCATGTATCTTAAGACCAGAATATGGGCCCCAATGCATGGCAGAGGTCCCTCATTGCCACACCATGGCCTGATGTACAGTGTCCTAAGGATGGCTTTTAAACGGTGTGTTGCTGAACTTTCAGATTTTTAGAACAGTTCAGAAGCAAAGTACTATTTAACTAGTAAATGTGGATTTATAATAAAATATCAGGAAGCACTTCCAACAATCTGAAGTTTGGCAGTAGGACTGGCTGAGGAGTTTTTGAATGTTTTGAAATAAGACAGGGTGGGATTCAGATATGTGACAGGGTATCACCTTTGGGGTTACTGGATTACAAGCATTGGATAAAATACAAGAAAGCTAACATTCTGCTCTTACATTTCTGTAAGAACTCTGTCTGTTTATGCTACTTACACTTGGACTTCCTCTGGATAAGGGATGCTCAGTCAACAATCACCCATCTCATCATTATATGCAAAACCAAAAGTACAGAAAAGCCTACTAGAATTAAGCTTTAAGCCACCTTTTTGGAAGCCTGGCTGTCTGGTACACAGAACTTACCCATTCTGCTTAGTTAATGACCTCTCTAGCTAATTTATCACACAATGGTGGAAAGATAGATAGTCTGCCAAATTGATTGCGACCATCAGGAGCCACACATACACACTCTTCTTAAAAGGTTGTGACGGCTCTTGGACATGAAATGTCATAAATGATATTCAAGCCATAAGAGGAATACAAAGCATTTGAAGGTAATGTCACTTCTGCAGGCTGTTTTTCCCCTTCCCACAACTCCAGTGGAAGATAACCAGACATCAGATGCAGTTGATTTAAGAGGCCATCATTTCAAGGCCAAGGTTATGGAATTTCCTGTCTTGCTTATAATTGGACTGTTCAACTGTGCACAAAGTTGTACTGTATCAATCGCGGAATACATGCAATCCAAAGGAAAGTGTTTATTGACCTGCCATCTTCACAACAAAACAGTGGATGAAATCATTAGCCAAACGGAGTGTGTTGGTGGGCAGAGTTTCCAAAATATCCATCTACTTCGTCCCAATTTGCCATTTAAGCCACTTATTGAGAGAAGAATCCAGCCATTTTTTAAAACTTTGGTCCATATAAATTAAATGCAAAGTAGAACTGTGCAGTGTATCTTAAACAATGGTGGTGTATTGATTTCCTCTGCGAAAGAATACACTATTTGACTTTCCTTTATTTTATATGGACCCTATTGCCAAGACAAACAAATTGCACCTTTCAAGATTCCATTACTTTTAGCTCCACAGTAACTATATGAGCATCTTCCATCCTGGAGGATCCCTAGGATCAAAAAACCAATAGATTTTCAAATAACATTCTTACCTATTTCCTATCCATCAAGCTACTATAATAAAAAATGAATCACTTGGCCTACAAGAGGTCTAGTCAAACACTGTGCTGCATTGCTATTCTCCAGAGCGAGGGATCTGAAAGAAAATTTAAGATTTCAGTAGAGTCTTCAGACTAAATTTCCTGACATTCTGCCATCTCGGCTACATAGGAGGGCACCATTTTCTTCATGCCCACACTTGCATGTTCACCCCATCATGCTCTGTTACTCTCCATGGGCTCCAGTATGTGACTCCCTTGCATGCCTATCTTGTGATAGACCAGACTCTTTCACCTCTGCTCACTCTTGCCAGCATCTTCATGTCTATTTATGTAAATGTTATCCAGTGAAATTTCTTCCTCTATAACTTCATGTGTTCCATGTGTATGTTATGCGGGGTAGACTCCACAAGGACCTTTGGGGAAGGACTGTAGCTTAGTGACAGATCATGTTTCACATGCAAGGGGTTTCAGGTTCACCCGCTGGTATCACAATGGAGGGCTGTTAGGAATTCTGGTTGGCCAAAAATGTCATCCCAGTTTGAGTTAAGGCAAAGAACTGACATATATGCTTGCTTCACAATATGTTATTGGGAGATACTGAGCTGCCCTTCATTGATCCTCTATTTTCCCCCTAATATTTATGTGATGCTTTCACAAGGGAAACTCAAAGAAACAGGATTGAAGTTAAAATAAAATTTCAGTTAAAACACAGCTATCTTGTCAAGATGGTCACCATCATCTGTGACATTTTTATTACATAGCTGATAACATCAGGATGATTAAATCAAAACACTCTTGGTAATGTTTCTGACAATAAGATTGAAGAGTAGCATAAAAATACCAGTCATAAGTACGTATAATAATAAATACCTTGAAATACAGCTTTGCCATCTGTCCCATCAGTCCAAGGGAAATCCATGTATCGTGGATCTTCTGAATGAGTGATCAGTGAAAGTACAGATCTGCATTTGGTTGTTCATTCACATTGCATCATGTCCATGTTTACTCTTCTTTTTGTAGCATTACAAATAACCCAAACTGGAAATACATAATGGTTGCAATCCTATTCCTAACTGATATGATTTTGGACATCTAACCAGATGCATAGCTGTCATGAGCTGGTACCTCTCTCCTCCATCCTCTCTCCTTTTCCTTTCCCAGAAGATCATGATGAGAAACTTTGACCTACAATCAAAGATGGCCAGCCAGGACTAACTTTGTGATATAGGGGAGTAATATAAAAGTTGCTAGCAAGAGAGTTTTATTGAATTTAGACCTTCTTATTGACAGTTGGTTCTTGATCATATCAGGAGTTGATTCTAAACCAAATTCTCCTCTTTTCTTTCTCTGCGAACAGAGCTTAGTCCACCCTTTGAGAGGGTAATGCTGTTTGTGGGCTAGATGAAAGGTAGGTGTTCCTACCAGGCATTATTTAATCAGTCTGCTCATTTGACTGGACATCAGACCACAGGAACGGGACACGCTTCTCCCTCCAACCCCATCCCCTGTTCTACCATGTCTCCTCTCAAAGATGGCCTGGTTTTCACCAGCCACTTGGCTTATCTCAAAACTTGTTAACCTTGGAATTTAAAGTAAGTATTTTGACCTCTCATCTTCTTCCTTTTCAGATTCAGAGTTTGAAATGCCCACCTTGGAGTGCTGCATTTTGGGAGAAGTAGACCAGTTCTTACACATAATTCCGCCATTATATCTTGATCATTGTATGCCAGGTTTGAATTTCCAGTGTGTAAAGATGAGCTGACACAATTAATATGCCTGGTTGTCTTTCCAAGCTCTGTTAGGCAGTATTTGGAGCAGAGATTTGTAGTTTCTAATTTCAAACCTACTACTCTGCCCGGGAGTATGTGGGTGTTGCCCTCTTTTGCTGGCATTTCTGCAGATTCTGCTCTGTCAGCAGGGTTACTAGAGCATGTAAAGAGAGAACAAACAATATTAGGAAAATCCCTATTGGCAGAAAGATGACCACCAAATAATTTTTCATGCAGTCACGATGTATATGACTGGGTGGGAGAAATTTCTGTAATTCCAAGGGTTCAGACTACATTTGCTACACGGGAATGGTAAGAAAGTTAAGTGCATGAGAAGACCTTCAGTGAAAACTGGTGCTTGCCATTGCATGGGTTTCAATACAAACAATCACCTGAAAACAGATAAAGTGTGCAATGACAGATGGGCCTTTAATTTCATATACCCACCTTTATTCAACCCATCCTCTAGCTAAATACACCACATTCCATCAAAGGCTCCACAAATTGTCTTTTTTTCCCCTCCTCAGACTCCAAAGTCAAGAGATGCTGATAATTATGGCAGATGGGTGACCAGCATTAATCCTGGCATTCAGTTCTTATCCAGTGATTTTCCCTGCACTTACTAGTTATAGCTGGTGCTGGATTTTTGACTACCATTGTGTGTTGGTTAACATGAATCCAGATGGTCAAGAAAATATTCTGAAGTTTTGGCCTGTGATCTGAAAAGTTATGTAAAATGAATCCTTCTCAATGCTGCATATAAGGCTGAACATAGTTTGCTACTGTGACCTTAGCAGTGCTGTTACTTACCAAACCTTGCATGTTCTCAAGCTGTGCCTCTTGGAAAAATTTCATGCAATATCTCATATGATGTGGCAAACCACATTTTATTTTTAAACTTCTAAAAGACATAATTCAACACAGAAATAGGATAAAAACATAGACAAGAGAATTGTCTTTTCATAACTTAGATGAGTCTTAACCAGATTTTAATAGACAGGGACAACAGATTCCAGTTCCTAAAAACTGGTCACCATTCTGAAAAGTGCTACGTTCAGTGATGGTATTAGAACATGGAAATGAAAGAAAAATATACAAAGACCAAAAACTACATCATCTAAGATAACATCAAAATGGATGAAGTAAATCTTGAGCAACTTATAACATAGGACAAATCAGCAATAGATATTACTATATTCCAAAAAAATCCCTACAGTGGGAAGGCTTCTTTCTTTCAGATGTAACTATGAAATATAGCAACTTTCCAGTTATCTTCAGGCTGTATATAATTTGGCTGAAGATTTAAAAATAATATTGCAGTCTTAATCCAGTCTTTCTTCTCTCTTTCTTATTGTTGTCCAGTGTCAACCAAAGCCTCTTTGAACCGGTCCATCTCAAGACACACACGCTGTAAAAGTCCTTGCCTCTTTTATATCAATGGTCTGACCGATAGGTGGGGAAAGTTTCTGTTCGATGAATCTTCAGTGGACTATCTTCTCCAAAACAGATCAAAAGGGGTAGAAGGAAACAGCAATACAACAGTCAACTATTCTAGATATAGTGTCTTGAAAATCAATCTTTCTAGTCCTAAATCCATCTTTTTAGCCCCAACACTTAAGTAAAGTGGTTTCAGATTTTCAGGCTTAAACATTTTGGGGGAAGAAATCCATTCAAGAGGCAGAAAAAGCAACCTGGGGGACCCCCCCTCACTCTTCCTTTTTTCTGTTCTTTGCAGCCAGCATTGCCCTTATCTGTTGTGGTTGCCATAATTTAAAATTAATAAAGCTCCTCCCTCCCTCCCTCCCTCCCTCCCTCTTGTACTTTCTCTCTCTCTCTCTCTCTTTTTCTTCATTGCATGAGACAAACTGTGATCACCTAGCTAATATGATTCCATAAAGCTAATCAGAACTGGCCACAGGGAGGCCAAATGAAACTTCATTGACATCATTCTGTAGTCCTGATCCAGGTTAAACCATATTAGAATGGACTGAATATTCCAATGCCTGTGGAAGTGCACCAAATACATCCTGGTGGAAGAAGTTACAGGCTTAAACCACCGACTTTTGCAAAAGGTCCCAGATATTTTTGTGCCACCAGGGTAGCTTTCAGGCAGAGGTAGCTGTTGGGCTGATCTCTTCAGCATCACTTTGATCATGAGAAAAAATTTGTATTACCATTTATCAACCAAGCCAGGGAGCTTGATCAGGGAACCAACAGGAGACTAGTTGGTCCAATATAACTGCTACCTTAGGCTTACTTCCTTGCTCTGAGCAGCATTCAGAATAGTAAATGTTCTAGAGTTTTTTTGAATTTTGTCTTTCCTCCCAAAAATCTTGCCTGGCCTCCCTTCCTGTCTGCATGAGATTGCATCTCCTGCTTCTGGTCCCCCAGACTTGCTGTTTCTGCCCTCTGCATTTGACTGTCTTACCTGTTCCCCTGTCCATGCAACATGCTTCTGGTCCCTTTGAATCCCATCCCTGGTAATGAAACCTATGTCACAGCAACAAAACCTAGATCATAGATCATCTCTGGCCCTTTCAACCAGCTGTTTTCAGGTGCAACATCACTGGACTCTGATACCCTCCCCCCAAAAAAAGAACTAGCATCAACCTGAATGGCAGCAACTGGGTGCATTCTCCCCATCCCATCTCCACAAATTCTTTCACACTTTTTTGAATGTCTTTTCTCATCCCTACCTGTGCCAAAGATGGAAAAGAAAATTTTTAAGGCCCATAAAATGCTGATACTTCAGTCCAGCTCTATGCACCATTCTATCAACCTTTATTTTGTCAACACATGACCCTGCAATTTGCTAAATTACTTGAGTGGTATACAGCCTCCTGTGTCATCTGAACCCACCAAGGTGTGTGCTAATGGATGGCTTCCAAACCTCAACAAGCCATAGGTTCTGGATGATTTCAAAGCCAACTCTGTTGTACGTCTCCCTAGGTTCAGACAACAGGACAGGTTGTATGCCAGGAGGGTAATTAGGAAGATTGTGTGGCCTACACGCAACACATGTGGGGTGGGGAAAGGATACCACCATGGCCCACAGTCATTCAAACATGGCTAATAACTGTGCTCCAGCTGTAACAGAGACAAAAATGACAGCAATTTATCTTTGCTGCTTTCTATCTGTTCTGCATTTGATGAGAACAGGAATTATTACAATACCAAAACAGGATTTCTTGAAAGTCATGGTAATGTGTAACAACCTCATTAGGAATCAAAAATGGGTCAGCAGTCCAGTAAGCCATTAGCTAAACCAGAACCTCTTGTATCACAAGAGTGAAAAGTTGTGCTTCTGCCTCTTGCAGCTATCGTCAGAATTCAGTACACTTTGAAGAGTGAAGGTGTTTTCTTAAATTTACCTGTTTAACTTATTGCTGTCTTTCTTTGAACCTTCTTTAAAGTATTATATTAATGGGTTTCTGGTCTCTACTGGATAAGAGTTTTCACTAGTCTTCATATTCCTGATATTGGGATTTTGAATGCAGTCCTTAATACATGGGATAGAACCCAAGTGAACTCAGAGAAACTCAATTTCCCAGTCTCTTTCCAATGAAAAGCTGTAGTAGGTATCACTGAGCATACTTTTCCTAGCCACTAGATGTCCTTCAGAGATTATAGGAGAAGCTATTAACATGCTGCTGTCTGTATGATGAGGAGCTGTAAAAATGTCATGTTCACTCGCTGGTAAAAATGTTCACCCACTGGTAGAAATTAAGATGCCAGGGAGAGAAAGGGGGTAAAATAAAAATTCTTCAGCAAAATCTCCTATGATCATGTGGGAAGATATATAAACTAATGCATCTGCAATGCTTTTGCTTATCTCTAGAATAATTGTAAAAATGGAACTAAGTAGCGATTCTTCCACCGTGCATGAAAGCATCTGAAATGATCTTTCAGTTTATTAATAGCTTTGCCTTGGTTTGGAATATAAGGCTTAATAATTCCCAGGAGCTAATATAATATTTAAATGGTCAGGAGAGAAGAAGCAGGGGGAAGATCAAAGAGCTACCTACAACATCTAGTGCAGCTCGCCAAAGTATGGGTAGTTTTATCCAGAACAAGGTCTGGATTTATAATCAGGGAGGGTTTATCCAGAACAAGGTCAAGATTTATAATCAGGGAGGGTTTGATTCAACACTGCAATAAATGCCCCTTTATTTTTAGTTGCACTAAAATAATAGAGGGGTGTCTTTAAATCTGTCCATGCAGAAACTATTATATATATAGAAGGAAGATCATCATATAGAAAGGAAGGTCAAGATCAGGCCACATCCCATGTAGAACCTCCTGTTTTTTCCATGGTACCACAAATCCCCGTGAAGGAAAGTTCACCAAAGCTCTGAAGACACATCACACATGCACTCTAGTGAATTCCACCAAGCTACTGGTGGTCATCAAATCTGACCCAATTTGTGCAGAGAATGTATAAACATATTACTGTCCCAATAGATCAGGAGTGGATTTTCATTAGCTCCATTTGCCCTGGTTTGGTGACTGAGGAAGCCATAGATGGTAGAACCCTTACACTCTGGCCTTCCACATGCAACTTCCGTGCTTTGCTGACTTGTGTAATATGTACAGTATGCCACAGATGTACATAATGCTTGTGAGAATAATGTAGGTCTCTGCTCCTGCAAGGCATGTGCTTCAAATCTAAAATTCAGTGATGGAGGGAGACAATAAAAGGAGTGGAGAGGAAAGTAATAAGGGATAAATGTTTGTCCCTCCTTTGTTTTGGAGGAGAATGAGGACTGATGAGGAGTTAAGCCACAGTCATAAACAGGTGTAATTTGGAAAGCAGCTTGAAGGGCTGCTTCTACTATTATATAGATGCAACCAATCATTCTTTTGAACTGGAATTTTTTTTAGGCAAATATGATGTGAAGCCTAGATAGTATTGTAAATGTCATCCAAGGGATGATTAACATTATCTATATGTTCACTGAGAATGATCTTCCAATAAACTAATACAGCTTCCTCAAATGGAGGCACAGTATCACTTAGGTAAACTTCACACTTATATGCTCACTTGTCCCTCTTCCTCCTGCCTCATTTGCTCTCTTGTTACCTTCCTCCCCTCCTCTCTAATTCTTTCCCTCACCTCTTGCTGCACGGCAAGCCATACTTGCCACTGCATCCAAGTTGACAAACCATGATTTGCTTTTGTTTCTCCCAAACCAAAATTGGAGACCATGATTTGAAGTTGGTTTCCATCTTCATGTAAACCATGGTTTGCTGACTCAGGTGCAATGGCAAATTATGGTTTACCTGAAATCAGGGAGGGAAGCAGAGCACCTAATGGGAGAAGGAACAGAAGGAAGAACTGTGCATGTAATGTCAAACCATTGTTTAGCAATGCACAGGAGACCAACACTTTGCCATATTAATAATACAAGGGCTCAAATTACATCAGCTTCCTACCTTGTAGGCCAAAGAGCTGCCCAGTGCTGTGTTGCCGTGTGATGTGCTGCCAGTAGGCACTACGGGGCAAGGGGACCATGGTGCCAAGGGAAACAGCCCGGTCGCTCATCTTCATCTGTAGCTGTAAAGAAGCCCCACAGTCACTAGGATGATCCCAACATCTCTAAATTGTTGCATCAAATCCTAGTTCAGGCTGATAAAACAACTCTGTGACATGTTCAGAGCAACCATATTTCAAAATAATTTATTGCTGTCTGGAAAACATAAGTGAATAATTAGCATGAATGGTCTTTCCATGCACGTTAACAGTTGCATCACAGTTTTGCTTGCCATCACTGCATTTCTGAATTTTATTGACACATTTGGTAGTGTGGCAGGGGCAGAGGGGCTTGAAGAAAAAAGCAGCAAATTACCTTCCCCTGTTATTGACATTTAGCTAGGAGCAAGTCCCACTAAACACAGCAAGATTTACATTTGAATAGACGTAAATAGGACTGTACTCTAAGTTCTGGTTTTTCTATTCCGTTCTCCTTGTTGACCTTTTCCTCCTGAGCACATGATCAACTGAATGTCTTATCGAGCCTTAACTTATACGGAACATGCTATAGACTGAAAGGTTTAAAGTCATGCCCTTGTCTTGTTTCCTTCCCTTCTTCCAAGCTGTCCTTGGGCACTGCAATTCTACAAAGGAGAGCTGCTGAATCTTAAACATGCATTCTCACCACCACCACCACCATACTGCAGTTTCCAAGACTGTTTGCAGGAAGCCATGCTATTTAAAATGAATATAAAACAATGGTAGATGTGTTGGTGAGACAGTCTCATTCATAATCCTTCGGAGGAGATGGTCACCCAAGCTGCTGCTACGCAATCCATCCTGACTGATAGAGAATACAGTTGCTTATGTTTCTCCATGCGCTGATCTCCTAGTGTGGCTTTCAGAGTTACTTAGGTGTTCAGGGAATTGGTGCAGTTCCATCCTGTTAGCTGTGATTTAGTTGAGCATCAACGTGCCAGTGGAGTGGAAATCTTCTTTAAATGTAACCCCAACCACATGGCTTCATTCTAAGCCATAGATTGACTTAGCCACAGGACGATGCCATAGAATGGCCACTATCACCATCCAATACACAAGTCCAGAGGGAGGAAAATTGGAGGCTACTGGATTTACTTCTTGTGGAATCTATCTGAGTCTTCCACCTGGCAGAAAACAGGCCAAGGCCTATTGGTCAAGGATGATTTTGAAGTTAGTGGGAAGCAAATTCTTTGCCCCTGGTCTGTGGTTTCTGTATTTTACTCCACACCATGCTGGGAGCCTTAAACACACAATTTATACTGATAATTTTAATCTTATATTTGTAAATCAATGTATTTTTTGTATTTTTGTATTTAATGGTAATTTATTATGTGCTATTGTATTTCAATGTATTTTATCGTGTTGTAAGCCACCCCGAGGTTTCGGCAAGGGGCGGCATAGAAATGTAATAATAATAATAATAATAATAATAATAATAATAATAATAATAATAAAACTGTCCTTGTCAGCCTGACTGGGTTTATTTGTCAGTCAGTCTACCTGTCTGTCTAAACCAGGGTTGGCAAATGCTTCTGTTGCTCTTGTTTTTCTGACATATCATTGTGTTAACAACCGAAGTAACATGCACGGCCAGCTAAAGGGGACTTGCCGGAAAACTATCACACCCAGAATCTAAAATTATCTAGCTGCACCACTTACTTATTTTTTACACCCACGTCTATGTTGCGAACACTGAATCACTCCATACAATAGAGGCTCCCACTCATGCCATGTTAAATATGGTCCCTCAAGTAACGCTTCACCGGGATTTAGTGTTATCCTACAATCCAGTACCATGGAAACAAGTCCAAATCTATTTTAGGAATCATAGCACTCTGAAAGACATTGCATTTAAAAAGAAAAACATTTCTCAGAACACGCCCTGTGCCACCCCCTCGTTTCAGACCAATCACGCTTCCATTTGGTGAAAAGGGGATTAGCGTAATCATTTTTAATTCAAAGTTCCTAAGCTACCCATATTTTCAAAAACAGTGATCTTTAATTGTCCTGTCCTTTTAATTTGTTACTGTACAGATTCTTCTAGTCACTGGGTTTAGACCTAGGAAAGGCATAGTGTTCCCTAAAGCTATTAGAAAAGTCAACAGGTCTGTATAATCCTTAACCTTCATGTATAATGGACAAACCCCTTCGGTGGGAATCGCATTCCCTTTGTAATCTTTTTAAAATTTTATTCTTGCCCTTATTAATCCAATGTTGTTCTTGTTTTAATGTATCAGCAACTCTAGAAGTAGATAGGAGCTGTGTTGGTTTTCAGTCCCTGATAACCTGCTTTTCAGTCTCCAGAATAACTGAACAATCCAGTCCTGTTCAAACAAAGCATTCCCCTTTCACCTGAGCTCTCTGAGTAGACTGTACAAGCTTGCTGGTTTTGGTTCTTTCTCTGAGTTTGCTGCTCCTGAAGACTCTTACAAAATGATTAATGTTGTAAGCCGCCCTGAGGCTTCGGTGAATGGGGCGGCATAAAAATGTTTTAATAAATAAATAAATAAATAAATAAATAAATAAATAAATAGTTTTTATGTTTACACCACTTTCTCAATGTTGGCACCGTCTAATTTGGTATTTAATTCCATATTTTTGCAATGTCTTGGTCTTTTACCTACATCCTGATCGCTTGAGTTATTTGCACATAACCCTTGTTCTCTTGCTTGCTTTGTCTTTCCCTTGCTTGACCTTTTGCTTGCTATACACATGATTTACTGTTTCAGTTTCAATTCTGCCTTCCATGGCTTGTCAAGAAACTTTTGCTTCCTGACATACTCTTCCTGTCTTGTACAAGGTCAAATTCACATCTTCTTCTTCTTTGTTTGTTTTTGGTAATTTTAGCGATCCAGTTCTTGTAATACTCTGATTTGGCAGGAACATCACTAGAAGCCAGGAAAACCAAATCTGTCTAGCTGTCTTATAATTCAAATCAGTTCTGCATGATCAGTTTTTTGGTGCAAAAGTAAAATGCATTAAAATATATCTTTGATAGAAACAGGGATTTTATGTGCAAAACTAAAAATGTCATTCATGGGTGAGTTTTTAACTAACATCCAAAGGGCTAAATCAGTTACATAGAAATAAAGTGGTAATAATGCTTCTTGAGGAGCAGATATTTTAAACTAGCCGTTGTTGTCCCATATTCTTTTTCTTTACATGTTATAACTGACCTTTGTACACCAATCTCACCCATCTTTACCCCAATATGTAGGAGCTGCATCAACTTACACATGATGCATGATTGTTTTTTGCAATTAGGCAATTTTTGCAAAAACCAGTCAGCAGATCTGCCACAAATAGTTTCCTTCCACAGGATTTTAAAAGCAAACACAGTTAGTGACTTGGCTGATAACATCATGTATTAAAAAATGAAGAGATGTAATGTGCTCACAAGTGCAAAAGGAAGATGAGCGCATGCTCAACAGAGCTTCCCATCTGTAAAATCAAAATCCGAACTTATGGTTAGAAGGGTAGCCTATGGATTTTGTGTCATTAATGCTGACTGCTGGAGGATGACAGGCAGAACTAGCAAGCGTACCATTGAGTTTTTCATGCTCTGT